GTCAGGATCTCTGTAATAAAGTCTTCTCCAAACACAGGTGGGATAGTACCAAGTAAATTTAGGGCTCATGTTATACTTTTGCTTTTAATATTCAAATTTAAAATCAGAATTATATCACAACGTGGTTTAAGCATTATTTTACCGCACCACAGATGCTAAAAATAAAAATAATTTTAAACCTACGTAGAAAACTACATCTGTAACTTAAAAAAGTAGTAATCAAACCTGCTTTATTTATGAACATTGTCACTACCAAATCTCACCTAGCGTGTTTACTTCTCAGGACCAGTGGTTGTATATTTATCTTTGGTGCTGCTTATTTCTTCCCCCGACCCCTAAATTGCTGACATTCACAAGGACGTACAAAAATAGAAACCAAAAGTGCTCCCTTTCATAACGCTACGCAGTGAGGACCGTTTCAGAACTCTTTTTACATGGAAACAAACGTGGCCTTGCGAAGTTGACCGAGCAACGTGGCGGGAAGTAGGGAAGTCACAACAATTCTGTAATCACTGTTATTCTTTTGCGAAGACTCGTGAGTAGCTCTTCGTCCCTGTTTCCCTCTCCCCAAGCCCGCGGGGAAGCCCCTCTACTGCCACTGCACAAAGGCGAGTGGAGCCCGGGACCCTGCAGACCGGTGGCACTTCCCTCCTCACCCGCCCCAGCGCGCTCCCGCCCCACCCGAACGGCACAAGACCAGATCCGCCACTCGCGAGGGGCGCCCGCTCCGCGCAGGCCGCCACACCCACTCTGGCCGGCTCCCGCCTCCGCCGCCGCGGGTGCCCTGATGAATATGCATCGCTGCGCGGCAGCCCCGGGCTCCTCCTTTCGGTTTGCTTCCCGCCGCCAGGCGGAAGCGGAGAGCCGCGCTTCCCGCGCGCCGAGGCCAGCCGGGGCGGGGCGGGACCGGCGGCGAGCGGGAGAAAGAAAAAGCCAGGGAGGCAGCTGCGAACAGAGCGCGGAAAGGGTGCGCGGGGTGGGTGGCAGTTCCGGGGCTGCCCGGCCGCCGACCAGGCCAATCCGAGGGCGCGGAAGGGCGAGTGAGCAACGCCGCGTGCGCGCCGGTTGCATTTGCCCCGAGCCCGGGTGGAGAGGCAGCCCCCACCTTTAGAACAGTCTTGCTAACCCAACAATAAAACCCAGCAAACACACGCACGCACGCACGCACACACACACTCTGGACGGCTTTCAAGTCAACCAAGAAAAAGTCTTCTGCAAGTAAGAGGAAGGAAAACTGGATATCCAGACAGACTGAGGGACTGACTGCCTGCTTTTAAGACTTGACTTCTACAGCCTTTTCTTCTGGGGTCAAGAATTGTGGCATTACAGAAACAATAATATAAAAAAAATAATAAAAGGCTACTCCCGGATTGCCGCCTTCTTCTTTTTTAAAAATTAAACACAAAAAAGCGACACCAAAACAACCCTTAAGAAAATCCACAAAACTGTACCTGAGACACGTGAAGTCAGCGGCCCAGGGTTCTGTTACAGATTCAAGATCTCTTATTTAATGCAATACAGTGCGATGGTATGTGGCTTTGAAATGATGGGTTTTATTTGTTTGTTTTGTCCGTCCCTTGCATTCTCTTCCACCTCAGACACAGATTTTTTTCCTGTTTGTGCCTTGTAAATTGACTGTTTATTTAAATGTTATTTTTGCTTTACTGGTTGAGCTATAGTACTGGATTTCCAAACTTAATGAAAATATGTAACTTCTTTTTAGCTTTGGCAATTTTAGCGTATGTATAATACTTTTATGGCGGGAATCAGTGGATAATGTTTTAAGTCCAAACAGTGAAATGTAGCATTTTTCCCTGCTTGAACTTCCTGCTTTCCCCTCCCCCAATTTTGGAAAAAGTTACTGTACAGATGATACTTCATTTATATCTTGTAGCTTATTGTCTCTTTTTGTCATGTTCTTCATTTTAAGGTGAATATGCACAGTTTTGTTATATATTATCATTTAAAAGCACATTTTTAAGTGAAGGTATGACTATTTAGCTCTGCTCATTGCAAAGCAGGACTGAATTGTTAGCTCTCCTCCTCCCTCCCACCACTTAAAAAAAAAAAAGATTATGATGGATTTCTTCCCGCTCTTGGTAAAACTTTTTTCCCTCTCCTGCCCTGCTGGTTTTGCTATAGGATTTTTTTCCCCCTTCTAACTGTGTGTGTGTGTGTGTGTGTGTGTGTGTGTGCGCGCGCGCGCGTGTGTGTGTGCGCGCGCGCGCGCATGTCTCTCTTTTCCCTTGTCCTCTCTTCGCCAGTACGTCTGGGACACATTTTAATGCACAATATCCCATCCATTAAGTTGTGGTTGAATGCAGAGTGTGTGAGGACTTGGCAGCTTTCAGGTTGAAGGGGGCGGGGAAGCCAGTTTCGACTTTGACACAAGATGCCGAAGTGGCGTGATTGGAATTATTATTAGGGCTGTGAACATGGCCATCTTCTCCTCGGGTTAGAAGAACTGCCACTGAACTTGAGACGGGACAGACTAGATCTCCAAGTTCCCTCCTCCTCCCTCCTAAGTACAGTAGCTGGCAGGGAAAGGGCGCCAAAATACACAAGATTAGCTCTAACTTTCTTTGAACGGATCTTGTAGCACCATTCTTTTTTTATTTTAACTTTCCAACAGGCGGGAAAAAGTTAACTTTTGAACCTATACTCGAACAGACATTTAAATCAGCTCTAATATGGAATAAATCCAGAAAATCATATATGCATGCTTATGTGGTTAGAAAAGAATGCACGTGTAAATAAGCAGGGTGCACGTGTGTATCTGATCAGGGAGTTCAAGATTTAATCACGATCAGAATTAGTGTGACTTTTGAATACATTTAGCGTATGGGGAGAGCGTTGCTAGGGGAAGAAGCTGACTTTTAAGCAGCCTAACTAAAAACTGCAAAGAGTTGTGAAACACAAAACGTTGTGGTTTCCAGTTTTACATTTGAGGTTTGATGTTTTCATTTAATGGTATGAGAACTGGAGAAAGCTCCAGCACTGAGAAGTCCCTATTAAATCATATGTGGGCAAAGGTCAAGCACTCCAACTCACTGATACAATATACTGCGGATTCCTGCCTAACTGATGGAGAACACAGGAAAAAGTGCTTGGGCAATAAAAGTATTAGAAGGGTAATTATCCTCCGTGGTTGGAACTGCATTCTTGTGCACTGGGAAAAGGTTTTTACTGGCCCCGATGAATTTTTTAAAAGCTGACTATTGTTGAAAGCTGTTTTAATAGGAAATTGATTAGCTGAGTGTTTCATACAATGAATGGTGACAGTTTCATTGTTTGATGTCCAAAATAAATTTTTTATTCTTTAGCATAGTCATCCATTTAATTTTAATATAGTCAGACTGAGCAGCAGCATAATTATGAGTGAATGTGATGTCATGAACATCTGTAACTTTGCTTTTGGAGTTTATGACATCACACAATTTGACAGTATTATTGTTTTGATATTTATTAACTTACTGGATTAAAATATTTCAGATACATTTCAGAGATAAAATTCACTGTACATTTTGTATAGGCCCAATTTTTTGTCTTTTCTCTGTATAATTGCTAAATTTTAATTTGAAAGTTAAAATGTGCAATTCTGTTGTTATACATTGTTTTTATTTTCATATAGAATGGTAGCTTTCAGGGAAGAATTAGAGAGGGGGCGCAGAAAGTTTGAGTTGATTTGCAATGAACTATCTGCACCTAATATGTAATGACTACTTGGCCATCTTGGATAAAGCTTTCTAAACATCTCTTTAAAACTAATCTGTCTACATGTCACATAGGCATAGTTAGTGAGCAGTAAAAGCCAATTTTATTGCTAACTCAATTAAATGACAGTATAGTTTTACTTTAAAATTCAGCTATTTTGAAAAAGGACAATAATTACAACTCAGTAATCAGCAGAGAAGAGACTGTGTGAGAGTGTATGTAACTTTTGAAGTATTGTGAGTGAAGCAAGGCAATTATTACCATAATTTTCAAAGCTTACCATAAATCATGCAAAAGTTAGCAACTAACTGCTGACTTTGTAATCTGGGGATCAAATGTCTTTAGAAGTTGGGGATCTCTGCTGGTGAAATGGCCTCATATCTGTAGAGAGGTGGAAATGGCTAACCTTAATGGAGTAATCTGGCCCAGGCAGTGTTTTGATTCAATCATAGCTTGTAAGTGTGCCTGAAATGTAGGCACAAAAAGTGGGACACTTTTTTTTTTTTAACAGTCAAGTACAGGCATTTCAGCAACGACATTATTAACAGCGTCATTTTTCTCATTTAGTTTTGTCCTCAGGGGACACCAAACAGCTCCCAGAGGAGGGGAAAAAAAGTCCATGGTTATTTATTCATTTCAGTGAAAGGCAAAGCCCTGGCAGTGGGGATGGGGGTGGGGTGGGGAGGCTAACTGGTTGTGAATTTTCTAGTGTGGAAAAATTGCTACCCTAATTTCACAGTAGTAGTTTAAGGGCTGAGAGAGCGGGGCATGATTTTGCAATTCCCATCAAGTGCAGACAATTTCAGTACTTGTTGGTTGTTTACATAAGCGTTTTTGAGAGGCTTTTTGGTGTTCCTGCTTGTGGATATAAAACTGTTTTCCAGGCTAGCTACACATTCTTTTTTGTGGTTCATTTGGAAGAAGGAAGGTCCCTGGGCATGGTGTGGTGGATACTTGCAGTTTTGCAGGCCTATTTCCTGGGGTCAGGAGGTCATCTGTGTCTTTTGTATTTAGTTTTAAAATATTGATATTGGCAATGAAGCCAGAGTATGTGGAATTATTGAGCCTCCCCTCAAATCACATGCAAGAGAAAAAAAAAGTTGTCCGATATATTGAAAATGACAGCTTTGTTAAGCTCCAAGAAACTTTTCCCTAAACTGCCTAGGATTTTCAACCTGTCACTGAGTTTCTTTAGAAGAGAGAAGGTTAAAAGAAAATCAATATTAGGAGATACTTGAGATGTCAAGCTCCTTTCTGGAGGTCACTAAAAGGCTCCAATGGGGTAAACATTTATTAAGTTTTTGCAATTATACAACTGGGTTTTGAAAAATCCAGTCACCTGAAGCACTCACATTAATTCTTGAAATCAATAAAACTATCTTTCAGAAACGAAACTTTTTTTCCCTATAAGGCGGCAGGTAATAGATGATCCAGGGGGGAAATCTTGAGGAATTCTGAAATATCAGATTTTCCTGTTGCTGCAGGAAACTTTCACTACTTTCTTGCTCCTCAAATCTGCTTTTTGGGTGAATGAAATTGGTCTGTCATACTGGCCGCTCTAAGCCTATCGGTGTGGGAGAGAGAGAAGACAGAATTTAGGAGAGGCAGGTACTAAAGTCCAAGAAGTGTTTGGCCCATTTTTATAGTAGGAGAAGCTTTTCAGCAATACTTTAAAACCACTCTTAATCCCATGGCACAGACCTTTTGCAAAAAAAGGAAAGAGGCTGAAATGTATATACTTTCTCACTTCCTTTTTTTCTACTCTTCTACTGGGGATTTAAAAGACTGGTATTTCTCCAACCAAAGATAGTGGAGAACGAGTGTTGTGCTGAGAGAAGCCAGATGTCCCACACAGGCAAATCCACCAGTCCCTCTTCACAAAAGGCTCTCTTAGAGTTCATCCTGGGAAGGCCTGCAGTGACCTTGGCATTGGCTGGACAAGAGGCAGTGTTGTGGGGGATGTCAGCCATCCTGCCTGTGGCTCCAAGGCCCGAGAGGACAGTCAAAGCCACATAAACTGAGCACCCACCCCATAAACCCTTCCGTGTTGATGTCTCTTGCTCATTCTTCCTCCGTATTGGTTTTCCCCACATCAAAATTACTCCTTTCGCATTTTCCTTTTTCTTGGAAACAGATCAAAACCCCAAACTACTAAGCATCCGCTGTACCCATGAAACTGAGTCCAACTCTAAGTGCCCTACAAACATAGAGCACCTGAGATTTGAACCCCTAAGTGATAGGCCTGGGAGGCCCCAGACTGTCTTCACTTCTCTGGGGTCTTACCTGTGTCTGGTGCTGCTCCTTCACCCCTTGTGCTGCTGCAGCTTTTGTAGGCTCTTCTGTGTAACGGTTGTCAATTTTTCGTTTTTCCTTTTTAAGCTTGTGAGAAACTTTTGGATGCAACCTAGTTTTGGTGGCAAAAGGAAATGGTTTCTGTTGGTAAGGGAAACTAATCAGGGAGGAGGGGCAGCGATGTCTGCAGACACTTGCTCAGGGCTCAGCACAGGGCCTTTTTTGCCAGGGGACAGCGGCTGGTTCTGGGATCTCTGGCTGAAAGGAGTGCTCTCTGGGTGCCAGGATTTCACTGGGGGTGGTGTGGTGAGGAGGGAGGGAAGAAGGGAGGGAGAGAAAGAGAGATGGGCACTCAATTTTTTAAAGAGACCCCGAAAAATAATGGTTTCTGTAAGAGTCCAGGCATTCAAAGAGGTGTGTTCAAGGACATGAGTGCATTTGTGCCAAGGGGAATGTCTTTTATGGTAAATTAACTCCAGTTAAATTGAATATTTGTTCAAAGGGAAACTCTAGTAGTTAAAGCTGGTATAATCAGTAGAGCTTCCCGCCACCCCCTCCCCCCCCAAGGTTCGGGTGTGACGTTGAGAAAAGGGATGCAGTGTAACGTAGTAATGCACAATACAACGTGATGCTTTGGGATTTTTTTTTTTTTAAGCATTTAAAATGAGATTGCCTAAAAATTTCCGAGAGAAATCAGTATTTATTTGGATTAACCCGACAGTCACCTCATTTCTTTCATCTATTATAGATTTTCAACTTTATCTTGGCTTTTCAAAAGGAAGAAATGGCCCACACAAAGGAAATTAACGTCGTTAGAACGCTGACTAGAGGATTTGCCTCTGGGGAAGCAGGAGGCTGCTCCTAGCGGTGTGTGCCCTAAAGGGTTAACTCGGGAGTAGTTCTCGAAATTTCCCCGACCGTACCTGTCTTCCCAGATCCACCGCCCCCTTCTCCCCGGCCTCAAATTCCCACCCCCAAGCGCCTTTCTTCTTTGGGCTCTAGGTTTACGGGGGCTGCAGCTGGTAGACTTGGCAAGCTCGCCTCATTAAGAGCGCTCTTTGAAAACGGACTGTGTTTGAGCATTTCCCTAATGAGGACAGGACGGGGTTAAAAAGTGACCATTTCATGGTTGACTTGAACCTGCCTACTTTTCTTGATGTGTCGTTGTGAAATGCTTGATGTGGATAACTCCCACTTGGTGAAGGAAAAGTCACTGGTTCCTTCAGGTCCGCTGAGGGGAGTTGAAGGGGGCGGGGTGGGGGGGCGATGGGCAGAAGCCGGTGAGACCGAGAGGGGAAAAAGTTGAGGAAAAAAATCCAGATGGAGGGAGACAGGGTAAGAGGAACGGGGAATCAGGGGAGAGCCTCGAAACACCCCAACAGCGCAGTTGGAAGCGGGGGAGGTCCGATCTGCGGCTGGGCAGTCGAGTCTGGTTCGCGGTCCCAGCCGTCCCAGGGAGCCCCCACTTAGGTATCCGCGAAGTCCCAGGCACTCACTTTTCTTCTCCATTGTCTGGACAGCCTTTGCTTCCACCTCTTCCCCACCCACCCTTTGCCAAAAACCGGAATTTTGGGGGCAGAATGTGTGTGTGTGTGTGTGTGCGTGTGTGTGCGCGCGCGCGCGCGCCAGACAGCGTGTGCGCGGGTAGAAAAAGTGCAAGGCAAACCTCCACCCTCAAAAGACCCGAAATCAAGTTCATTCACTCGGGGTCCGCGGCGGTCGGCCGACGGACGACGGCCGGGCGCGGGCGAGGCCCTCGGCGCGGGAGCGAAGCGGGCGCGGCCGCCTCTGCAGGGCAGTAGCGGCACACGCAACCCCCGCGCGCGCACCCGGCCGCCCCGCAGTTCGGGGCGCGCCGCGGCCCCGCCCAGCCTGCACCCCGGCGCGGAGGGAGCCGCTTTCCGCTGGCGCCCCGGCTCGGGAGACTGCGGGGTGGGGATTGGGAGCGAGCCAGTGGGCTGCTGGACGGAGAGAGCGGAGCGGGCCGCGGGAGGGAAGGAAGAGAAGAAGGGGGGGAGGCGGCGGCGGCGGCAGCAACTCGGCTCGGTCGTCCCCTCCCCGAGCTGGGCCACGTGCACTGGGCACCCCAGGGAGGGCGGCAAGCCTCGGCGAAGCGCTGCGCGCCGCTTCTGAGGAGCAGCCCTGGGGCGCGGGCCCCCACGGGGGAGACCCCGGCGGACCCCGCCTCCGTACGCGCGGGCGCGCCCCAACTACTTGAGCCCAAGTTCTCTCAGGCCCCCGCCTCCAAGTCTCCCCCTCCTCCCTTCAGCCGGCGGGTTTGGCGGACCGCGCCCGCCCGGGGTGTGAGAGTCGGCGCCCCAGCCCGGGCCCCACGGCGGCCAGGGTGTGAGGGAATTTTCCATTCGTTCCTTTCGCGGGCCCAGACCGGCTCAGTGTTTCTCCCACTCGGATGTCCCCGCGGCTTAAAGAGTCCGCAGCGAGCACCGAAATATCTCTTACAGGGCGGGTTTTCGCGCGCGCGCGCGCGCGCGCGCGTGTGTGTTTTGTGTGGGGAGGGTACGGGGTTTGCCTAAAGGGCGGAAAGATCAGTTTTGAAAAAGAAAAAACAACTTATGTTTCTGTTGCACTGGTATGAAACCTTTAACAAATGAGAAAGAGAGAAGGGAGAGAGAAGAAAAGAGAGGGAGGGAGAGAAGCAAGAGGAGGAGGAAGGTTGGGGGCGGGGGGTGTGGAGAGGCTGGTGCAAAAGGAATGCGCATTTGCAGGAGGAGGAGTAAAGCGATGATTGTGTAATTAAATAATAAAACAATCCTTAAGTCTGATTTGGAGAGAGCTCGAGCGGGGTCCAGAGGGTGGAACCGGTGAATTTTTCAACTTACAAGTTTTGCAAGGAAAAAAAGCTACAGAGGGAAGGGGGAAAAGAGCCCAGAGCAGAAAGGAGTTTGGAGCCGAGCGGGAGAGCGGGATTTATCGTTTGGGACTTTTCAGGAGCTTGTTCTGGTCCCCCTGGGCTCTGGGCAGCAGCGGCGGCAGCAGCCTTCTCGCTCGGCCGGGTCAGACGTGGGGCGAGGCGGGCGGCCGGGCGGGCGTGAAGCAGCCGGCGCAAGCGGCGGCGGCTGCAGCCAGGGACCGCGCGCCGGGAGCCTCTTCCACCCGGGAGACCTGCGCTCACGTCCCCTCCCTCACCCCGGCCTCTCCCTTCTCCCCCACCCACCCCGCCCCCACCCCGGCCCTCTCCCGCGCGCGCCCCGCCACCCGCGCGCACTCGCTCACGCTCCCTCTCGCGCACACACACATGGTCGGCTCGCAGCAAAGTTTCGCCTGCGATCGCCAGTCGGGGATCCTGCCGCATTGCTCGGGGCTGTAACCTTGAACTTTCCTAGGGCGGTGACACATTCTCTTCGCTCTTCCTCCCGCCCTCTCTCCTGCGCCCCCCTCCCCGCCTTTTTTAAAAAAGCATTTCACCACCAACCACCACCCCAATCCAACCCGCACCGAACCTTCGCGCACTGCCTAGCTCCCAACAACATCAACAACTGCAAAACAGAAAACAAATCCCCAAACCCAGGCGAAAAGCAACCAACACCGGCGGCGGCGGCGGCGGCGGCGGCGGCGGCGGCCTCGGCGAGCACCGCCAGCGCGCTCGAACTGCAAGAGGTCTAAAACTGTAGATTGGATTTCACCCCGGGAAATCTAGCACGCCGAGTGAACTTGAATCTTTGGCTATTTAAGGAGGACTGGGTTTGCTGTGAAGCTGCGGTAATCCAGCGCAGACCCCGTCCTGATTGATCGCATCGCGGGGCTCAGATGACTGTAAAATGAATAGATGAAATTCTTGCTTCTCGAAGATTTTCTTGGGCATCTCCGGGAAAGTGCGTTTTAAGGCGAAGTCATGATGTATTCTCCCATCTGTCTCACTCAGGTACATGTTTCGGTCGCTCTCTCGACCTTTCTGTCTAGCCCGAAATGCCTTTTGTTTTGTTTTCTTGCTCTTATCTGCGGATGATTAAAGGCTTTAGTTAACCTCCGCAACCCTCGTCTCTCGAAAAAGTGGCCGGGAGTTGCGTCGGGATTTACCCGGCGGCGTGGGAGCCGGCGCGCGGCCCCTAGCCCACGGCCACCGCGCGCGCTCAGCCCCGCGCTCTGGGCACAGAGAGCGGGCGCCCGCGTGCTGCCAGGGCGGCTGGGCCGGGCGAGAAGGCCGACGGTGGGCAGGGCCCGGGCGGACGCGAGCTAGCCCCGGCGCGGCCCCCTGAGTGCCTGCCGCGGCGCGGTGCCCCTGCCCGGCGTGCCCAGCACCCCTCTAGTTCGCTCACGCGCGCTGTGAGGTGGGCTCGGCTTTAGAGGAGCTTTAGGTGGGGGACTAAGCCCTTATAAACAACCAGTGAACTTGGACGAGGGGACTCCAGCACGAGTCCTTGCGGGCGCCTTTGGACTTCGCTGCAGGCAGTGGCCAGCGACGAAGCTAGTCAGAGGTTGCGGTCGGGGCACACATTCTTTTGCTGAATTTGGGGATCTAAAACTCTTGTCCTTCGTGATGTGTTCTGCATTTACAGGTTTACAGTGAGCACACCACAAAAGTGGTCTTTACCTTGAAACAAGTTAGTTGGTCGTGGAGAAAGTTAAGGACTTTTAGAAGATGTTCATTTCGTGGAGACCTGTTCATTTGACGATATTTAGGTGTAGCTCCCAAGGCAGAAAGTAGTTCTGGAAAAGTGAAGTCATTTAAAGAAAAATTAACTTTGAAAATTGTCCCAAGACTTTAGGAACAATGTTACGAAAAAACATCCTAGCTTTATACTTTTTTTTTTTTTTTAAAAAGAACAGAAGTTGCACAATTTTAAACCAGACGATAAAATGGAAACGTGGCGAGACGGAACACACTTACCTGGGGGTGGTTTTTATTGCTGCCCAGCTGACTAACCAACTGAAGAACTAACTAAATATCTTAATCCAGAGTTGTTATTTGAAGCAATATTTTAAACCTCTAAAGGTGTGGGATAGTTTACTTTAGCTTTTAGGAGAATGTAGCATGATTGGTAATTGATAACCAGTTACTTTGGTATTGACATAACAAACAGTTCTAGAAGTGTCGCCTCGTCTTGTGTTACCACTTTTTAAAAAATCCAGTATCACAATGATGAATTTTTATAATGGACAAATGATTAAGATTTCAATTGTATGACAATTAGAAGCCATTGTGATTCAAAAGGACTGAGGCATTCATAAATTGTGAATGAAGATGAAAACAATGATAAGGCTTATTCAGTGATTGGATACAGTCCTGTAGCTTTTTGGCTGACACATTTTTTATTGTTTATATTTTGTTTGGCATCTGAGTATGATTAACTTAGATATGGCTATTTTCAGCAAGTAAACGTGCACTTTAATTTAACAAAACTGGAAAAATGAGTGACTGAGCTATTCGTCCTTTAAAAGCTATGAATAATGACCAATGAAGATGATGATTGAACTGTTTCAGGTACAACGAATTTCCTGTAGTTGTAAAAGTTACCTTTCATATTACCCATCATCAGGAATTTTTTCTCTTTCTGGTAAACTACTTCCATTTGCTATTATTTTTACATTATCAAAGCATTGTTCAAATAAAGCAAATTGAGACAAGCTTTATGCTTAGAAAGTACTGACTCAGTCTCACCTGTACAGGATTACTCTTCTATATTAATTTGTTTCCAACATTGGCTTCTTAAAAACATTGCTAGTGATTTACATACATTGCATTTTTGGTTTCCTCTAAATGTGTATTGAAAACTTTATCTTAATTTGTGTAAGTTAAAAATAAAATTGCAGCTTCGTAACATATGGAATATTAGGAGCCTATACTGCATCATCATTCAGCTATCATGTTAATATTCAAGAATGCATACTTACCAACACTAATTCATGATGACTAATATCCTCTGCTGTTTTAATAATGTAAATCTAATGTGAGTTAATGTATTAAAACTGTTTTGGGGATTTAAGGCCTATACTAGAGAAGGAATTTTTAGCTTTAGAATTCTCACTTAACTAATCATTTCTATGTGACCTTATAGGTAATGTAAAGTGTTGCAAAAGTATGGGTACGTTAACTGTTGCTTTTACATCAGATCAATAATTTGGTTTTGTATTGGGAGACTCTTATAGTAGCAAAACACTTTTTGGGGATTTTAAAATGCAAAATAGAGAAACATTCTTAATTGGTTGAAAACTTTACAAAGTGTTTTAGTTGTTGAAATAAAGTATCTAGGTTTTAGAAAGAATTTTAATTACAAAAGAGCCACAGTTAAAGTTGATATGTAGCAAAGTCTTATGCAAAAGTATTAGTGAATCAATATAAATCAGTATTTATACATCAATGTAAATTGGATATAAAAGGAAAATTAAGAACCATCATGTATGGTTTAATATGTGCTTTTTAAAAAAAATAATGTAAACCCTTAATAATATAACTTTCACTTGTCATGATTGCATTGATTTTTTTCCCCATTGTCCTTTAAGTTCTTTAGTTACGTTTTTAAATGGTTTATTGTTAAATAGCAATGTTCCAGGAACATCTAGTATTTACTCATTAACATCTATATTGGTCTAATTTTCCAATCCTTTCATGGAAACCATTGTTGCTGTTAAGAAAAATCAATATTTTTAGTGGAATCAGGACTGTTAGCTTTTATATTTGAAACTTGCAACTTGTTATTTATTTTATCAATTTAGTTAAAGGAAGTTTTAAAGGAGGATTACTGAATCTCAATGTATTTTAATGAAAATTCTGAAAGAGCAATGTGGCATATTAGTATAGAGCCATCAGATCTTAGATCACTTAATATACTTTGCTTTAAAAAATCATTTTCCCCATTGTTTAAAGTGTTATTTTGAAAACCTGTTAATTAGGACATTTCAACATCTTAATCACATTTTTTGGATGAAGACAGTCACTATGCTCCATCTTTATGTCAGTCCAAATTACTAAAAGTATATCACAACTTAGCATTAGAAAACAACTGTGTTTAGGAGATGACATTTTGGGCATGTTAATACAGAAATGCACAAGACACAGCAGAGCTCTACTTATCATCATTTTTTTTTTTTTTTGAGGATATGTTTCCTTATCAGTAAGTGTTTCACTTGAATGGAATCCACATAATAGTAAAGCCCTGAAAGGTATTAGGGCAATTTTGTGGATTGCAAAAGCTTGCTACTTTTATTTAACAACAATAATTTTAAAAAAGTATGTTTTAAGACATTAGCAGCACTGATGACAAACTCAAGGCAACTTTTAAAAAACATTGTTCTGTGTGCATTTGCTGAGAAATTCCAAATTCAACCCTCAACTTGCATTTTGATTGTTTAATTAATTAAAATTTTGAGAAATGTTACATGATAGATGATTTGAAACACAAATGTAATCGAAAGTATGTTTGATGTCTTATAAGAAAACGAAATGTCACTGAACATAGTACTTAAGGATATAAGCACTTAAGAGTTCCCGCATTGCTTAATATCTGTTAAAATGATTTTGCTTTTCCACAAGTATGGCAAGGGTAAAATGAGTGAGACAAAAAGCTGCTCCCCATATACTCTTTACATTCTCGAATTTTCAGTTTATGAGTGTATGTATGTACATTTTTAGTCATATCAATAAATCATAGTAAAAGTCAGATTATATATAGTGAGTGAGTTCCAAAAGCATGTTTAAGTCCACATTTCCTTGAGGAGGGTTTCCTTTTGCATATATTTCTAAGGGGGATAAACAAAGTTTTTGTAGTTACAGTGGAAGCTGAAAGCATGGCATCAGAAGTGTATGGAGATAGGGAGGTCTTATCATGGGCTGTGGTTGCTGTGAGCAGGGCTGCCTTCCCACACAAAGAACAGATTGTGGTTTAACTCTTTCCATGGCCTAGTTTAATGTGCTCGCATAGTAACTGAATTGTTCAAATCTCTGCTGGAAACTACTGATCGGTTTAATGATTTCCTCCATGGCATTTGTTTATGCCTCATGCTGTGATATAATCATCTGTATTCTGTATTGTTATAAACTTTTGACTTACACATATTTTGCTGTCGGAACGTTTTACGGCAATATGTTAAAACACTTGATAACTGCACTATTGATCGGATCAGACATGCACGTCTTCCTTTTCTGAACCGCAAATGGCTAACATGTCGCAGTCTTCAGCCTTGAAACTTTGAATTTCATCATAAAAATGGATTCCTAACTACATGGAATTTTGGGGGCACTGTCTTTGTTAAGAGTGTCATTAATTATACTTTCATCATTTTTACCTAATGGAATTCATTAGTCTGCTGGTTAAATAGAATCTATTCCACATAGTTCAGGGTGACCATCACTAGTGTATGTAAGTTCTAA